TGGCGTTTGAGGGAGGTACTGATGGTGACAACGTTCCAAAAATTCTTGATACACTCCAGGAGTTGGGTGTTCAAGCAACATTCTTTGTTAATGGATTCAACGCCAACAATTTACACGATGCTGATGCACAAGCCATTTTGAGGAGAATACATGACAATGGTCATCAAGTTGGATCTGGAACTCTGGGCCATTCCAAGCCTAACCACCTTTCACCCGAGCAAATTGCTTTTGAAATGCTTAATAATGACTGGATGATCCAAGAAGAGCTAGGCATATCTCCACTCTACATGCGAATCCCTCATGGTTCCTATACTTCAGCTCTGATTAAGCAGCTTATTGATATGGGATATGTTGTTATTTCGCATAATGTGGATAGCAGTGACTGGGCCGTTGCCGAGTCATCTGATCCAGCCACGAAGGCAATCGAAGAATTTGACAGGTCCGTTAGCCACCATTCTGGGGCTAGTCCCGAGACTCATTCGTTCATCACGCTTCATCATGAGTGGGTTGAAAACGGCCATATCGGTGTCAGGGCAATCGTTGAGAAATATCATAACTTCGGATACAAGTTTGTCACCGTTGGTGAATGTCTGGGCTATCCTTATGCCAAGGACTGGTATCGTATTCGTGACTTTAACGAATTGGCTTGAGCTTGATGCATTTTTACTTTGGTTTCTATACCATTTCTATCCACGACAACTATAATCAATCTAAAAAGTATTGTGCATGTGGACTGATAGCATCAAGTGAAATAAATCATTCATTAAAAATAGTTTTGGGTTTATGATTATTCATTGGGAATTTCAGATTAAATGTGAGATTCTGAATTTATGATGGACACGGTAAATTGTGATTCAATCAGATTTACGGATCTACATCAGATCATCTAGTGATGCTGTCAATAGACTACTGCATACACGTTGCGTATGTATTGCCATCAAAACAGTCGGCAAGTACTGCATCCATGAATGTATGACAATCTACATAACCCAATGCATTGTACAGTGGGAAGAGTTTGAATACAGTCGGTACGTGGTTCGCTCAATGAAATAACATCATCAAATGTAAGAGCTGCTGCATCACGCGGTGTAAGGAAGTTGGGAAGGTTAAATAGTTTTTTGAGAGTAGCTGGGATCGACGAGTGTTCAAAGAAACGACTCGTGTCATCAGAGTGGTAAACTGCAATGCGTTGCAACAAAATATTGAACTTGCTCATACCGTATATATACAGCAACACCTCGAACGTGCGATGGCTTGGAACTCGTTATAACAATGACTGGTTGATACAAGCCAATGTTTATTGGAACGCTGAAATAGGCATATCAACGACATTTAGGTGTTGACGCTTTTGCATACAATGTGTCAGCATGTCCATCCAAAACCACCAACATGTCTATTGATATTTGTTGTACGATTTTTTGACACTACGAGTCCACCAACTGGCGTCAACACATTGCTGTGACTTGATTGTCACATGCGGTCAATCATTGTTCATCTGTGATGTATAATTGAACCATGGTTTCATTATCAATAACCAACTCGGTTGTGGTGTTCGACATTTTAGCGACCAAGTGCAACGGATTGCAGTCAGCCAGTCCAACTTGGCCAAACTAGCTGATCGTTTAATGTGTATCGTACACAATATCAATCAAACCAGTCAAACTAAAATAATTATATATACACAATGTATTGGATTGATTGAACCCGATAGTTTATTAAGTTGGTTTCAATAGTGTCTTGCATGATCGACAAGATCAATGCTGTGTTTGTCAATCAATCAAACCGACACACTGGATTACACCAAACAGTCAACCCAATGCATTATACAGTGGGAAGAGTTTGAATGCAGTCGGTACGTGGTTCGCTCAATGAAATAACATCATCAAATGTAAGAGCTGCTGCATCACGCGGTGTAAGGAAGTTGGGAAGGTTAAATAGTTTTTTGAGAGTAGCTGGGATCGACGAGTGTCAAAGAAACGACTCGTGTCATCAGAGTGATAAACTGCACCCTTGCTGACATATGGTGAAATGATGATTGTTGGCACACGAGGACCAAGACGGTCAAACTGGAAATCTCCAACATTCGAGTCGGGATTGATATTGTCGGGTCGAGGAACACAAGTTGGTGGTGCAACATGATCGTAAAAACCACCATTTTCATCATATGTCAGTACAAATACAGTGTTTTGCCATTGAGGACCGGCACGAATGGCTTCGTATATGTCTTTGACATATTGCTCACCAGCATGCAGGTTGTTTGGAGGATGGTTGTCGTTTTTGAGCCAATCAGGATCAATAAACGAATATTGGGGTAGTGAACCGGCTCTGGCATCTTCAAAAAACGTGCTCATGTTTTTGATTCTCATCCAGTTGTAAATATTGCGCAGATTGCGGTACAACAGTGGTGTAGACTTGAGTTGAGGAGAATAGAACTTGTACGAGTTTCCATGATCGGCCATATTTTCGTAGATTGTACGGCACGGAACACCAAGAAAAGCACCATTGTTGGCAGTATAGCCAGCAGCAGTAGCACAATGGAAGAAATGACGATTGGGATAAGTTGGTCCAGGAACAGATGCTATAGATACGAACAATATTAATTTACAGCCGACAACATGCAGTCATTAAGCTTGCATGGCTTGGTTGGCAGTTGGCGTGTCATCTTGCACTCCACAAATCCTTGTTGAGCAAATCTGTCATGATTGGCTAATCACTATACTATATTGCTTATTTTAGACTGTAAATTTTGATGTTTTCGACTCGTTGGTAATCTCCGCTGTCGACTTTGTCACAGCTGATTGACATTGTCTTACTCCAGAACCCTGATCACACACCCTCATTATCAACGGTTGTCAAAACCCTATTTAAGTGTATGCAGCCAATATGCTTTGACCTGCGTACTCAGGAATCTTGAATAGGGTGAGTTTATTTCGGATATTTGAATGATTGCGATGTTGGGATTTAGGGTGATCGTTTCAGTGTTTTACACATTTAAATGGTCATCATCCCCAACGCAATATCAGGATATTGTTCGCAGTCAACCATTTCAACTACGGATTTTTGATTGATTGCATATAGAATTCATCATGCTTATGCTTAAAGTCAGCGTGTTGGCGTTTGCCGCTGTTTGTAGCGCTCAAGGTAAAACAACAATATGTATGGTTGTATATACTGTTGATTGGGATACTCACGAGTAAATAAATGATTAGTTTTACCCAAATCAGCTCCGTTTGTTACAAGCAACGATGGAATCTTGAATCTGCCTGTATCCAGTGATTTGAAGTGCGGTCCAAAAGCAAAAACCATTTGTCCAGATGATTTATGCTGCTCCGAATACGGAGTCTGTAACAGAGAAACCGACTCGTGTGGCAAGAATTGTCAACGCGGATATGGTCATTGTGAAGTGAAGAATCTACCTGCTACTGAACCTGCTACTGGATCTGATACCGAGCTTGTTACTGATTCTGATCTTGAATCTGATATTGAATCAGATCTTGAGCTTGTTGCTGATTCTGATCTTGAATCTGATGCTGAATCTGATACTGAGCCTGAGCCTAGCAAGACTCAGGAACAAAAAGACAAAGGTGCAGAAGTATCCAGTAAAAACTTGCATGAACTCGTTTTAAAATCTGATAAATGTGGACCAAAACATGGCAGATGCAAGGGATCGTTATGCTGTTCCGACCGCGGCTATTGTGGAGTGGATGTTTCGCACTGCATATCTCAATGCAATCCCTTGTATGGTGAATGTGGAAATGATCTTAGTCCTGCTATCAAGGCTTCGCTCACTCTGACGGATGATAATACGTGTGGACGTCGATACAACAAAGTGTGTCCACCAGAATCTTGTTGCTCGCGTGATGGTGAATGTGGAACTTCAACGGCTCATTGCAGTGTTGGATGCCAAGGTCTATTTGGTATCTGCAAACTCCCAATCACGAAGCCTCCAACATTTGATCTGGGTCCCCCCGACTTCGAATATTATGATGAGATTCGTAAAAAAGGCCGAGGAGGTGGTCGTATGGCTCTGGCGTTTGATGGAGGTACTGATGTTCACAACGTTCCAAAAATTCTTGATGTACTCAAGGAGTTGGATGTTCAAGCAACATTTTTTGTCAGTGGATTCAAAACTAGCAATTTATACGACAGCGAAGTACAAGCCATTGTAAAAAGAATATGTGACGAAGGTCATCAGGTTGGATCTGGAAGTCTGTCTTATTCCAGACTTGGCAGAATTTCACCCGAGGAAGTTGCTCTTGAAATGCTTAATAATGATTGGATGATTCAAAAAGTGATTGGTGCCAGTCCACTCTACATGCGACTTCCTCATGGTGACACTAGTCCAGAAGTGATTAAGCAACTTATGGAGATGGGATATATTGTTGTTGGAAGTAATCTGGATAGCTATGATTTGAGCATTGGCGATGTAAATGATTCAGGTGAAACGGCACTTGCCAACTTTGATAAGGGCCATGATGGCTTTCCCACGTCTGATATACAGGTCAAATCGCACATCACACTTAATCATGAGGATGTTAAAAACAATCATCTCGGTATTCGAAAAATTATTGAAAAGTATCGTAAAATCGGATACAAGTTTATTACTGTTGGTGAATGTCTAAGCCAACCTGATCCCCAAAGCTGGTATCGTGTTCGTGACTTTAACGAATTCGCTTGAGTTTGATACATTTTTTGCTTGTTGGTTTCTATACTATTACTATCCACGACAACTATAATCAATCTAAAAAGTATTGTGCATGTTGGACTCCATCAAGTGAAATAAATCATTCATTAAAAATAGTTTTGGGTTTATGAATATTCATTGGGAATTTCAGATTAAATGTGAGATTCTGAATTTATGATGGACATGGTAAATTGTGGTTCAATCAGATTTACGGTTCTACATCAGATCATCTAGTAATGCTGTCAATAGACTACTGCATACACGTTGCGTATGTATTGCCATCAAAACAGTCGGCAAGTACTGCATCCATGAATGTCGCAACTGTGGACAACAACACAATCTGTCGTGACAAGACCCAATCATTGTCAATATTCACATTGACAATACTACACTTTTGATTGACAGATACGAATTCTTCAATAACCGGTCCAAGAATACGGTATGGTTTATACCAACTAGAATCGTTAAATAATGAAATGGTTAGACTGACATCAAATTGAAATGTCAAACAAATTTATAACTCACTTGGAGTACAAATCTATCCTAACTGGAGTATATGGTGCTTTGCGTAGTATAACATCAAGATCCTCACCAGCATCAATCGTGGATCCACAAGTGATCATTTCGCGAGGTGAAGCATCGGTACCGGATGTGGTGGACATGGTTCTGTTTTGAGACTTGATCACCTGTGGCACAACAGAGATATCTGCAGTGGATGATGGAGAGGTACCTCCAACATGGGCAATTGAAGGAATGGCCGATATGATGGATGGAATGGCAAAGCGAGTTGGGAATGCGCTCATTGCACATGGACCAATAGTGGATTTAAGACTCATCACTAAATTCGTGTAATGGGTTGAAAAATAGTGAGTATGATTGATTCAATTATATCAGCTACATGGACAAACTTGATGTATAGATTTGACACCAATAGCTTATGAATTGTTAAATTTGGAAATGGATCAGTTTTCCAAATGTTGAGCTGAGTTCAATACCACACAGTAGTATACATACTTCTAGATGGAGAGCCACACATTGCCTTCATGGTGTGTTTTGGAGTAGCTCGCATAGAAAACTTTGCAAAGTGACGAGCTCCTGCTGATATCATTGCTGGCTATTTGATCTGGCAATCACTCGCTTGGGTTGAATTTCAAATTTGATTTTTCTGTTTCAAATGATTACAAGTCACGTGTGTATGATCGTGACACGATAAAAGTCGGCGCGAAATAACTCGACAATTTCAACCCAAAACAATGGCGAATACAAGTTCTTTGGTTGAATCTGCCATTCAATCTGCTGTCAGGATATAAACACAATCTTGCAGCTGAATGGATCAACCCATACTAAATGAACTGCTGAAACCAGAAATCTCAATTAGTTCAATGGTCTCGCAAACAGAGAATCCTTAAAACCAATTTGTTGGTTGCATATATTCAACAGGATTTACCAATCATGGCAGATGATCAGTTACAAGAGTACAACTCATTGTTGGATGAAAATGATTGGTGTACAAAAGCTAAAAAAGTGCAAGTCGGTGTTGACATCTCTGTATAGATTCAGTGTATTTACAGGATTTTGTAATTTTTCAGTGTTGAGTTTTTTTTTGGAAAATGGTTGGACATCCGATATAGAGACGATGATATTTTATTTAGTAAGAATGACTTTTAAGCAAGTAGATACGTAAAAACAAAAAGAGGGTCAAAGTAGATGACGATCCAAAGCCAAGGCAAAAGAGTGATTCCAGTTGGTTGATAAAGTAGATAAATGACAAAAATCTAACGCTGTTCAGTAGAAGGCCTAGAATTGGACTCTTTAAGTGCAATCAGTTGGCGTGTACGGAAAGTTTCGTAGTGTACCAAAGATGTGGTTTCAATCAAATCCTGCAGGTTGGTTCGAGTGAGAAAATTGCGAAGATGAACGAATTCGCAATGAGATTCGTCCTCGACGTTAATCACGCCCCAACGAGTGCGACGACCACGAACTGCTTTGCCATCTACCACAACATTGCGCTCAGATCCAACAATAGCAAAAGGGATCATGTCTTTTATCAACTGTGCAGCCTGCCTGTCAGCGCGATCATCGTCGTATGAAGCAAACTCTTCATCCACATCGGTAAAAGGATAGACTCGAATGCCATGGAACTCGATTTCATCACGAATGCGACGTTTGAATTGCAAACGCTCTTCCAAAGTGAGCGAGTCAGCTTTGGCAATTATAGGGATCACGTTGGCCACTTCAGATATTTTTTTCATGACAGTGATATCCAGTGGAGTGAGAGAGTGACCAGTTGGAGAAATAAAGAAGATGACAGCATGGATACGAGAGTCTGAGATTCTGCGCTCACGCTGAGGATTGAGTTCACGACGAAGATAAAGAGCATATTGGTCCTTGATGTGCTTGATGATTGGATCCCAGCTGCATAGTAGACAAGGTAAATTAGTTTTTCAAATTACAAATATTTCAACCTAGATGGAATTACCAGTTATCATTGTTCACTTGGTCGCCGTATCCAGGAGTATCAGTGATGGAAAGAGAAAGACGGATTCCTTTTTCCTCAATGACTAGAATAGGAATAAAATGGTTACCAATGCTGATATAAATAACTCGAGTCAAAGAACGCCTCATTTGGAAGATTGATAATCAGGAGCAGCCATTGTGGATTGACCTGAGCAAGATTATAACACATAAAACCAAGGTCGGACTATAAACACAATAAAGTATTACTTACGATGTTGAACAGAGTTGATTTCAGTAGTTTGACGGGGAGGAGCAAGACCTTTCGACTCGACCAAATGTGAAGCAAACAGAGTGTTGACTAGAGTGGACTTGCCTAAGCCAGAGCGACCTAATAAGACTTTTAGTAAACCATAACACTGTACATTAGATAGTGTTGAACAGATGCTCACCAACGACCATCAAGTTGAAAGCAAAGCCACGCTTGACAAGTTTCCTTTGGATTTGGTTAGTGATGGAGTCGAAGCCAACATATCCAGTAAGAGTAGCCTATAGTGGAATGTATGTTAAAAAGTAATTTGTACATGACAGTCATAACAAGACGAACCTTTGGAATCCCATTGATGGAACCAGTAGAGCTCGCAGTAGGAATTGGTGCAACAGATGCCATTTTGTATAGAAAGTCAAGTTGTATTCACGCCAAAAGACTTGAAATAGAAATCAGAATTGTGCAGTTTAAACCAAGACAAAAGTTGTTTTTTAAAGAATTCAACAATTTAAAGTTAAAACTTGAATGTATAAAGAATGAGAATCAAGTTTATAAAGAATGACAATCAAAACTTGAGTTTATAAAATAAATATTCTAGTTGAATGTATAAAGAATGAGAATCAAGTTGAACAGTTTAAACTAGAATTTCTAATAAAAATTCAAACAGTTAAACTGCAACATATAAAAAAACATTATTAATTCCAGTTAGATTCTCATTACAAACTTGTTATTCAGTTTAATACTCGATAAGCTTGTCAGATTTAGTCATGCTGATGACTGTATTGGTTCGTCTTGAATTAGTTTTTACCTACAATCAACCCATCATGTCCTCTCGCTCGTTTACTAGGATCATCACTACTAGAAACTACTATGTTTCTCCATCTGTTAATCATGTCATTCATCCTGACCATCCACATGCTATTCCATCTCATTTGAATAAGCAACGTCCTTTACGAGCTATTATCATGGGTTGTCCAGGTGCAGGAAAGGGCACACAGACTAAATGGCTTGCTTCCAACTACGGCATTAGAACCATCTCTAGTGGTGATGTTCTTCGTTCAAACGTCCTTCAAAAGACTCCTGTTGGTCTTCAAGCTAAAGCCATCATCGAGGCTGGTGGGCTAGTCAATGACTCCCTGGTCAACGATCTGATGTTGACTGAGATGAAAGGAATGTCGGATTCTCAAGTAAAGTCTTGATGCTTCAACCTGCGCTTCATTAGCCTGACAATCTAATTTAAACTTTGTATCGACCTATCCTCTAGTGTTATGTCCTTGATGGCTTTCCACGTACTGTTCCACAAGCTGAAATGCTCGACGCATGGCTCAAGCAAAATGGAACTCCATTGGCCATGGTCATCAACTTGGATGTGCCTTGGAATGGTAAGTACTGTCTCTTCACTGGTATCAAGTACACTACTGACATGTTCTTTAGTTATTCTGCAGCGTATTGAAGATCGTTGGATTCATGCTCCAAGTGGTAGAACTTACAACATCAGTTACAATCCTCCACTCCTGTCTGGTCGGGACGATGTTACTGGCGAACCTCTAACAAAACGATCTGTATGGTTTTATTTTAATTGATATTCAAGTTGGGTTCAAATACTGTATTGTCATGTATACTCAACTTGATGTTCTTGTTTAGGATGATGATGTTGACATATTCAAGTCTCGTCTTGAAGCTTATCGGTCTCAAACAATGCCATTGATTGGTTATTATACCAATCAGGGTATTTTGTGTAATTTCAAAGGTTCAACATCCGATGAGATCTATCCTCAGATTCAAGACACGCTTCATGCATACTATGGATGCTCCATTACTGCTGATACCAAACCAGCCAAGACTTGCACTTCTACGGACTCTACTTCCGTGTCAACATTATCACAAAAACCATTGCGGGCTGCCTCCGTTGCCTAATCCTCGATATTTACCTTTCAAAACCAGTTCAACTCGATTGATTTGCATATAGCAATGACTGACTTGGCTGAATCAACTTCTTTTGTCATTTCTTATTGCAATATCCAACCTATCAAATACCAAAAACAACTACTACTGTAACAATCTTAACTCAAACTACGCTTACATTTTGCCACCTTTATTAAGGAATACCGCTCTTGGAGCTACAGCCGTATTGACGTGAAATATAACACGTTTCTGTAATCAGTATTTTGTTTTAAAATAAACAGTCGTTCAACATTCCTTGTATTGTTCTACTACAAATTGACTTTGAATATTCTCAACGTCTGCAATCGAGAACG